TGCTCTGAGTGCTATTAAATGTTTGTGGGGTTTTTTTTTAATCCTCACCTGAGGATATTTTTTCCATTGATTTTTAGAAAAAGTGGAAAGGAGGCGGGCGGGGAGAGAGAGAGAAACATAGATTGGTTGCCTCCCACATGTGGCTGGGAATGGAACCTGCAACCCAGGTATATGCCCTTGACCTGGAATCAAACCCAAGACCCTTCCATCTGAGGGTCACCAGCCAGGGCCCTAACTGCTTCTTGCTGCAAGCAATTGTGATATTTCTCTCTGAGCCTACCACCTGACACTCCCAAAATCTGAGGGGAAATAGGCAGGCCCTTCCCAGTGGGACGGAACCACTCTAGGGGCAGTGGGTGGGAGCACTCTAGGGGAAGTGGGTGAGACCACTTTAGGGCAGGGGGTGGGAGCACTCTAGGGGCAGTTGGTGGGACCACTCTAGGGCAGTGGGTGGGACCACTCTAGGGGCAGGGGGTGGGAGCACTCTAGGAGCAGTTGGTGGGACCACTCCAGGGCAGTGGGCGGGACCACTCTAGGGCAGTGGGTGGGACCACTTTAGGGGCAGGGGGTGGGAGCACTCTAGGGGCAGTTGGTGGGACCACTCTAGGGCAGTGGGTGGGACCACTTTAGGGGCAGGGGGTGGGAGCACTCTAGGGGCAGTTGGGTGGGAGCACTCTAGGGGCAAGCTCCAAAAGACCTCCCAAGGCCTCAGTGGCCCAGCTGCTCACCACTGCCACCAGTTCATTTGTGCCCCCTGCAGGGCCCCTGTCCTGCCACCCACCAGAAACTTTCTCCCCATACCCCACCCGAAGCCCAACCCTAACCCTCATCTCGGGATGGAATTCTGGCAGGAGTACCCCAAACCCAGACAAGCCAAGACTGAGGCTCCAGGGGAGGAGATGGGAGGACTGGGCAGGGGTGGGGATGGCCTGAGCAGGACAGATCACTTCCTCCATGGAGCCCACGTGCTTTATTGGTGGGTACACACTCAGGAAGGGGCGACAGAGCCGGGACCATGGATCCAGCCCAGCCTTCCTCCTCCAGGACCACCGTGGGGGGCGTCACATCCATTGGGTCTTCTCTGAGGAAACTCGGAGGGAGTCCTCGTGCCCTCGCCCGGCTGGTGGGGGGGTCAAGGCCAGT